TTATAGTTTTTTTTGGACTCTTTTCGCTTGATTTTGCCCGGAGTGCAAAAAATAAGTTTGGGAGAATTGATAGAACACATTTTTTACCCACTCTTATTTGTCAACTAGGAACCTTTTATTAATTATTTATCACCTTCAAGTACACACATTGCATTAGATTTGAAATTTTGCCTAAGTTTCTAGGTTCAGTACACTAGGGGCATTTTGGTCTAAAAAATGAACTTTTGAGAAAATGTACAAGAAAAATTAAAAAAGTGAATTTTATGTTCAGTTGATGAGTTGTGAAATTATATTTTTAAAATTCATTTTCGTTTGGAAGTAATTAAATAAAAAAGTCAACACTTTCTTAAATGTCATAGTTTGACTTAGTTTTCGGTTTGCCTTTGTGTGAAAATTTCTATATAATTTTGTGTAGCTTGAAACTTGGTTAATTTAATAAATTCTTCCTTCTAATTATGAATTTAATTCTGGACATTAATTAGATTTTATTATATCACATGCCATTTAATTGAATTATGTGATCTATGTGACGTAGGTGGCATGTGACTTGTGCATCAATTGAACAATTGAAGTCAACACTCCTTGGGGTCAATGGCTGAGCATTTGCACGTGATTTATTCTATTTTTGGGATATTAAATCAGCTTAAATAATGTGGATGACACATGAGAAATTACACACACATTGGAATCATCTACAAACCAATGAGAGGTTGCCACCTTGCAAGTGTGACAAGGGTCTCATTTTTATTTTAATTTCTTTTTTTTAATTAAGCCTTCAGTTGATGGAAAACAAAGGGGAGCATGCCATTTACCCCCCCAAATCAGATCAATCATCATCTCATTCATCTTCTACATTTTTTCTCTCTTGTTCTTGGTATTCATCATTTTTTCCTCCTTCTCTCTGCAATACAAGACATCCAGCCAGCATTTCTCCCTCTTTTCACCATCAAATCCACTCAATTCTTCCACCATTCTTCTCCTCTCTCAAGGCCAAACCAACCTCAAGCAATTAGAAGGAGATTTGAAGCTCAATCCATCAAGAAGCATGAAACATGTACCATGGCTTAATTGTGTTCATGGAGGAAGCAAAGTGCTGTTAATATTTTCTAGCTAGAGTCTTTATGGAATCCTAGGGGAGAGTTGATAGAAGAGGAGTTTTGAAGTCTTTACTTAACTAAGCTCAACTATTTCTTCATCTTGTTTCAATTCCATTAAAAGACTATGACTATTGTTGATTGTGGTTCAATTTGACTTTAGTTATATTACTGTTTGTAATTTGTAATGTTGAAACAAGATTGTTGAGTTGAATTTCATGACCTATATGCTACTAAAATTTCATCCACTCTATGAATTTGCATGATAATATGTGATTTTAAGGGGTGAATGTCTTGTATTAGCCTAACATGTAATTGTATGGTAAATACTTGATGAGTTGCTTAGGTTTTCATAGTTTTAAACTTACGTATAGCTTTGGGTAGTGCATTTGGGAATGAATTTTAGCTAAACACTTAGTTAATTTTAGAGCTAAGCTAGTGAGGTTACCTAGGGCGCTAGTAATAGTACTTAAGAAATTAAATTAGTGAAGCTAGGATACTAGAGATAGTCATCTTTCAGCCAAGGAAGAGGAGTTGAGTGAGCTGCCATAATTAATGAATGAATTTCTAATCGCACAGTGTAAGATCCCGAATTTCTAATGCTATATTAATGACTAGTTAGTGAATGAATTAGTGATTTAATGTGGGATTAGGGTTCTGAGTGGTGAAGTGTTATATTAACTCATTGGGATGTTATATAAACATATATAAGTAGAAGAGCAGAGTCTCGAAGCAGAGTGTGTGAGCATAGTAAGGATTTCCCTTAGTGTGCCACGCACTATGGGGGGATAGAGCAGAAATCAAATTAATAGGGACATGTCCAACTCATGAAAGTAGAAGGGAGAACATGAGAGAAGAGCTCAAACATTGAGAAGACGGGGAGATTTACTAGGGCAAGCATAAGCAAGAGCAAGGACAGTATTTCTGACCTGTTATTTATCAAGTAAGTCACGTACTTCCTCAACCTTGAATCTACCCTGTTTTCTCTTAGTTTTGACTGGTGAGAAATTAAATTTAGGAGAAGGAGTTAATTTCTTACCTTATAGTAATAGAAAGGTTCTTCAGAACTAAACTAATGCTTTCTAACTAGTTGGAGTTAAAATAATAAAGCTTTGGAGCTGTAGGCAAGATTTGCCCCAATCTAGAGAGAGTAGTGAGAGAAAATTGCTAGAAAATGTTAAAGCTTGAAATAAGGGGTAATCAATAGTAATATGCATAATCAAGTGTGAAATATGGGTTTGATAGCGATTAGGTGTGTTATTGCGATAATTGGCACTTGTTGTCAATAAGTGAAATTGACTTGGATTGCCAACTTTTGTGTAAATTCTAATGTGTGACAAGTAGATAAGCAGAAAGAGATTCGAGTAAGAAAGTAACATGGGTAAACCTTTTTAGCAAATAGAAGGGTTGAGGTAACCATATAGTTTATTGTGTTTATTAACTATTATAACTATGTAGAAGGAAATAAAAATTGGTGAATTTGTTATTTTAAAAGTTCTGTACATGATTTGTTATTGAAAATGGTTTTAGCATGAGCATTAGTTTTTGAAATGGTTTTCGAAAGGTAATCGATTTTAAATGATATATACATATATGTTATGACCTTATACATTATGGAAATGTGAATGAGTAGTGATAATTGTGAAAGAGCATGATCATAGGGGGTGGGAGTTCACTCAGGATATGTGGGAGAGTATGCGTGTAGAGATATTTGAGTAAAAACTCTATATGGTTGGGCTGGCACCATGGGACATTTAGTGCAGCATTATATGGGTTGATACCATAGGTAATTTGGTACAACATATCATGGAACGGTTACCATGAGACATCCAAGTAGTTTGACAACTCCCTAGTGCCCGTTAAGGTGCGGTTAGGAGTCAACGACGCCTCTATGACAAGTGTGTGAAGAGGGAAGCCATAGTTTGTAGGCGGGTTAGATTACCTTTGATCGGGTGTTTCTACCACTGAAAGTGAGCTCGGGTCAACAAGTGGTTGATCTAGGAGAGCTCATGGTCTCGTGTCAGGGAGCTTTGGAGGATCACGGATAGTCGACCATGTTAAGATGTAAAAGTGTTTGGAATGTGATATATATGCAAAAGTGATGATTTAGTTATGATATACTATATATATATATATATATATGCTATAAGATGATTTTTGTTACTTTAACATGGTTATTTGTGGTAATAAACATTTAATAAACTATATTAGTTACTAAGAATTTTATCTCACCTGTGGTTATTTACATTTTTCAAATTCTGGTACTAATGGGTCAAAGGAAAAAGATATAGGCTGAGTTAACATATCTCACCTGATTCCTTGTAAGATATGGTGTAATGATTTGTAAACTATTAGCCAAAAATATGTATAAGTTTCCTTAGGACTTGAGCATGTGCCTATTGTGGTAAATGTTGTGTTTCTTGTGATTTTGAGCTCCCTAGCCCTTGTATATGTGTGAATGAGGAATTGACTAGATGGGCTAGTGAATGAATGTAATTGTGTGTGAATATGAGATGTGCAGAGAATATATGTGATGATTTGGCCATATATGATATAAAGAAATAAAAATGTGATTTTGGCTTAAAGTGTGAAATAGGCAATTTATAGGCCAAATATGTATATCATGCATGTGTATAGTCAATCAGGTGTGTATTGCCCATTTAGACTTGGTCAAGACCCAAAAAGTGGCTAATGACAACTGGTTTTGAATTGAGACACTTAAGTGACAATTTTACCAAAATGCACTTTGGTATCTAATTTTTGATAGAAATATTGAATTGAGATGAAACCAGTGTCATTAGTTGGATTTCAAAACATTCTTCATATGGGCGCTTAAACCTTCCCAATTAGACATCGTATGTAGAAATGGCGTGCATCTAAATTTCATATCAGAAATTATCATTTGACAGCAAATTCAGGTGTATGTGCCACAGCACATATATCTACATGCCACGGTATAAAACGAGCAATTGCGGCCTCTGTGCCACATGTCGCGGTGCATGTGGCACAAGCCAGAGTGCATGGTGTAAAATTGCGCTTTATTTTCTTGTATGCACATATTTCTTTTGGTATTCAGTACTCGAATACTTATTGCTTCCGTTGTGTATATATTTATGCATGGAGTTTTATAATTCAAGTGATTTATAAAATGATTTTTAAAAATCTTTTATTAGGATCCTAATGCTTTCAATATTTACAACTTAAATGATTTCAAAGTAATTAGATTAATGGCAGTGGAATGTATGGTAATGTCAGTGAGGGCATTACACACAGAGCCACATTCTTTATTTTTAATTGCATCATGCACCGCAATGTGAGATGCCACGCACCGCAGCACGCTAGTTTGAAATTTCTACTATCATTTATCAGTAAAAATGATGAACTTTCCACGTGCATTGTTTCCACATCTGATGTTTGATTAGATGATTCAAGCGCCCAGACAAAACTTACCATGTATACTAACTAATAGAATAAGTATGGACTCAATCTGATAGTCTGATCTAAAATTAGACAGTCAAGTGCAAAAGTTAGTTACTACACATATCAAATATCACATCAATAATCCATTTTGGCCTCTCAAAGCTATATTATACAATTTGGTCTTATATGAGAAATACACATATACAATACATAATCACATATACAACTAGATTTATTCCACTAACAACCCTCTGACACTTACATATAGGGCTCTATCTCACCATATGGTCGAGAATCATAAATGTATTCGACTCTTTTAAATGGGGCTCCATCTCACCATTTGTGTCAAGTTCTCACAATTTGTATTAAATTCTCACATAACACAATTGACAATCAACACATAATCATCACATCAATTCACAGATAAATAAGTGGAACAAGTTATAAAACAACATATACTTGCTTGATTCGCATTTAAGCCTACCCACATACCCTCTACTAAGGCACCCTCAGCACAATGCAACATGATATACGTATATACAAGCAAGATTTATATCATAATTCAACATACAATCACTTATACATCGTAATTGACAACTCAACTCTATAAACATGTTTATACATTCATTTCATTCAATAGTAGTCATACCATTACCAACTAAAGCTACTTTTTTCTCACTTCCTTTCCGAGCTCTTTCGCGCTCTCTTCACCTGTGTTCAAAAATAATGGAGTGAAACATATGTTATAGTAACTCAAAAGTAATCCCAATTACCAATTAGTAAGAAAAATCATAAACAAGCGATAAAGTTGCATGTGTATCAATAAAAACAATATCATATGCATATACAGGAATTCATTCTCATCAATCTCGTTATGCTCATGTAATGCATTCCTGGTTCTCCCTAGCAGAGTAATCTCTACACCTAGACCAGGACTTCTAGACATAAGGAACAGGGCCTACCATACCACTACTCATACTAGGTAATCCTCTTTGCATATGGATGGTCTCTTAGATTCGTCATGTCGGAATCAAGCTCTATGCTCTGGATCATCAAAACCTCCCAGCCTTATATAGAGTAGGACCACAACCCCCACCCTAATCTAGGGTAATCTCATGGATTATTCAATATCATAAGTCTGTCATTGCGGAGTCAAGCGTAATGCTCTAGATCATCAAGATTTCTTCTCCTAGGCCCGTCCTGACAGAGTCAAGCTTTATGCTCTAGATCATCAAGACCTCCTGGACCTCCCTACCATAATCCAAGGTATATCTCGTGGATGTGATTCATGTTAGTGCTTGTGCCACTTAAAATTTGTTTCAATCAATACTCATATACCCGCATACATATACTTTGACAATATTGCTACTCTATCAGTTCACAATAGAATGCATGTAGTCATATCAAAGTACTTTCAAATAATTTCACAAATAAATAAGTAAAAGGGTTACTCCAGTTACCTTTAACCCTTACTGCTAAAGGTTATCAATCACACTAAGCTCCCAGAGGCACAGATTCTCATGAGCAACTTCACAGTGCTCAATCTACATAACACAGTGCCCCTCAATTAATTCTCAACACTTTTCACGAGTATTGATTCAGTTAAATCGAATCCCTTAACACATAAAATAGTTCAATTGAACCCTTTTGAATCCACTTATCCATTATTTGTAGTCATTAGCCTTATAGGCTATTTAAATAACCATAATAACCTCTTAACACATTAATTCCACTAATTTCATCCTTTTAACCTAACTTTTTGGCCAATTTGAGCTTAAAATCTTAAAGCTCAACCATTCAACTCTATATTAGTTACAAAACCTTAGTTCTGTATTCGATATCCCATTTTAAACCTTTATTTTAGATTACAACACCTTAAAATCTTGTGATTCAATTTATCAACTGATGAAATTCAATAAAAAAAAAGGTAGAATTAAAGCGTGGGATTGTATGATATTTACCTAGTAAGTTATTAATCAAAGCAGACTCTTGAGTCCAATTATCGCTTGCCCTAGTAGAGCTAGTCGTCTCTACCCCTCTAGATGAGTTTTTCACATTTTCACTTTTGATTTTAATGAGCTAATTATGTCAGCTTTAAGTGATCCCTAGTCAGCGTGTAGTGGCACATGCAGCTTCTATCGCTGCGTATGGTATAGTGAGAAAATTCTCACTTGTGCTCGCATGTTAAGCCTCAGGTCATTGTTCTACCCTTTAATCCTATCAATGTAACGCCCAACAACATAAAACATCAACTCAACATCCAAACCACAATCAATTCACTAATTACTAATTTACCTCTGATTAGAAACTAGTTCTTGAGATTAAAATTTAGATGTTACAACTGGTAAAAGTGTTCTGAAAGGGTATGACTCATGGTGACACGACCTGGGAGATAAAAGCTAAGATGAGGTAGTAGTGTCCTCAATTGTTCCCTTAGGTACGTGTGCCTTGATGGTTATTTCAATTTTGGAGACAAAATTCTTAAAAGGAAGGGAGAACTGTAACATCCCAAATTTCTAATCTTGCATTAATTATTGATTGTGGAATTAATTGGTAATTTAACATTAGATTAGAATTTTAGGTAGTGAAGTGTTATATTGACTCCTTGAGATGTTATATGAATAGTGTTGGATAGGGAGGCACAGCGGAAGATTAAAATTTTAAAGTCCCTATTCTAATATGGACTGAACGAACTCGTTTAAGTCAAGGTGGATAGAAGAGTTACCTTTTTCTCAGTCTTTGAAGTTGGCACACGTCTAGATCTCAAGAGCTGATAGCGTAGATCTACTCCCTCTATTGATATCCACATGAATAGCTCTCTAACTCGAATAGCGTGCTAACGCTTTTAGTGTTTGTTCTTCTTTGAACATTAATTTTCCTTTCTATAGGATGTTTCATGGCTGTTAGAGTGTTTTTATCGTCAGAACTTTTCTAACTCTCTCTCTCTCTCTCTTCATAAGGACGTCCCTATCTATATATAGTATATAGATAAGGTTTTTTTATCTTTCACTTGAAAGCTCACAAAAATTTAATTAAATTAATCTCATAAATTTAATACATAATATTATATCTAATTCGAATTTATCTTATAAAACCGACATGATATACTCTCTTATCATGTTAGTTATTAAATTTAATCTATCATATAAAATTAAATATAAAACTAACATAAGATAATATAATTTAATATAATTTAATATAATATATATCACTTATACATATTATATTATATATATATGAATATATATATACATATATGTTTTGAAAATATGTATATATATATATTATATTATCTATATTTAATTTTATATATCATGTACATCTATCATATATATATATCTAATATATAGATTTCAAAAATATATATATACATATATATAATTATATTTTAAATTTTATATTTCATATAAATATATATATATAATATTTATCAAATAAACATTCAAATATATATATATATATATTCATTCACCCTATATTACATTCATTGAATCTAGACATATTCCAGATTCAACGAACTTGGATATTATAGCTCGAGTTGAGCCGTTCTTATGTGCGACCCTGTAGGCCCATATGAAATTGACAGTGGGCTAATTATACTATTAGCCCACAAGTTACAAGTAGCTTCTAGCAAGATATTGCAACTACCTAATTCACATGGGGATTAATGATCCAATGTAACCTATCATACAACCATATCACATTGCTTTTGTCACGCGATATTTCAGTCAAGTATGAGACATGAAATTGTCATTCTACTTTACCTGACCATTACTTTCTCAATCTCTGAATAGACTGACAGTAGCAATGAAAAAACCCTTTCCATTGTAGTATGGCCATACATTTTCTCAATCTTACTCATCGAGGGACCCAGTAATATCTCTCACTTAATGTGAGGGGAAAATTCCATCTTGACCACTCATATTCCTTTACATGAATATCACTAAACTCAATCATAGCCTTTATGATCACGCGGTCAAAGGTGACTTTTGACTAGGTCAAAGTTCAGTGGTCATCATGTAGGAATCCATGATGATCTTAGGTCAAAAGGCTTAGTGATATAGTTACATATCAGATAAGCTTATGACTTGTACTATGCAGCTTTCTCATAGTGAGTCGGTCTAGCACTTTATACTCTTTCACGTGCCTATGACTTTAATTTGTATCTCTATAATTAATCAAAGTCATACCAGTCTTGTTTCATCTATGATCCCTCAAAGATAATCGACCAGCGACATTTAAGACAATCACTATAGTTTGTCCAGGGATACAGTTATCATATTAAACATGCAATTGTTATGATAACAAAAGAGAAATTCATTAAATAATAATGTGCATAGTACAATGATTGGCTCTAGGGCACAATTTCTAACATCCTCCCACTTGCACTTGGTACAATCATTAATTTGTCTAATTTCTATTGTCCTGACATGATGTTCATGCTTCACCTATGCAACAGGCTTTGTAAGAGCATTAGCAACATTGTCTGTTCTTGCTACTTTACTTATTTTTATATCACCTCTATCATTGATCTCTCTGATAAGGTGAAAACGCCTGAGCATATGCTTGGTCTTTTGGTATGACCTTGGCTCCTTGCTCTATGCAATTGCATCGTTATTGTCACAAAACAAGTTTATTGGATCTGAGATGTTAGGCACCACTCCTAATTTAGCAATGAACTTCCTAATCCAAATGGCTTCCTTAGCTGCATCTAATGCTGCTATATACTCAGCTTCTATTGTAGAATCAGTTATTGTGCTTTGCTTTGAGTTCTTCTAGCTCACTGCCCCACCATTTAAGGTGAACACATATCTTGATTGCAATTTAAGGTCATCCTAATCAATTTGAAAGCTTGCATTTGTGTAACCTTTACAACTGCCTCGTCATCCAATCCACCATATACCAAGAATAAATCCTTAGTCCTTTTCAAGTACTTTAAGATATTCCTAATAGCAATCTAATGATCCTCTTCGAGATTTGCTTGGTATCTGCTCGTCATACTTAAGGCAAATGAAACATCTGGTCGAGTACACAGTATAGCATACATGATAGATGCAATTACTGAGGCATATGGAACCTAACTCATGCAATCTCACTGATTTTGTATACTATGACACTGGCCTTTGTTGAGATGAATGCCATGAGACATGGGGATGAAACCCCTCTTTGAATCCTACATACTGAACTTATGCAGTGTCTTGTCTATGTTTGTGCTCTGACTTAGGCCTATCAGCTTTTTAGATCTATCTCTATAGATCTTAATCCCAAGGATGTAAGTGGCTTCACCTAAATCCTTCATAGAGAAAAATTTTTCTAATCAAGACTTGACATTCTGCAAGGTAGGAATGTCATTCCTGATGAGTAGGATATCATCTACATATAGCATTAGAAATATAACTGTGTTGCCATTAACCCTTTTATAAACACAAGGTTCATCAATATTTTGAATGAATCCAAACTCTTTGATTACTTCATCAAAACGTTGATTCCAGCTTCGAGATGCTTGCTTTAATCCATAAATGAATCTTTGAAGTTTGCACACCTTTCCATAGTCCTCTAGATGCACAAAACCTTCAGGTTGTGTGATGTACAATTCCTCAAGTAGACGTCCATTAAGGAATGCTATTTTAACATCCATCTACCATATTTCATAGTCATAATATGCTGTAATGGCAAGGAGGATTCTGATTGATTTGGCCATTATGACGGGT